AAAAGGATAAATTAAGGTATCTGTAAGGTCGGCAACGCGCATGTAACACCCCTGGTATTGTACGTGTCTATAGGCAACAGTGTTTACCATCACACGGGCTGTATGCTTGCTTACCTACAGGGGCAATACTAGGGGTGTCACGTGCGCGTTGCCGAGCCTGAAGAAACCTTAATATACTCTTTTTTAAGAACCCCATACTGTAGTCTCTAGGAAAAACCTCGGCAGAGAGCTCATTCCACAGCCTGAGCATTCATGGGAGAAAATTTCTCTAAAACCGCACCGTACGTGACCATTTAGGTTGAAGCGTGTGAGAACGAATTCCCTGTCAATGGCGAGCGGTGCGATGATAAAAGGTGGCCGTAGGCATCATTTCAAACAATTCCTCAGAACACAATGGCTGATAATAAAATGGTACCCCCGCTTCCGGTATACGTTAACGGAATACCAATATGGGATGATAGGTGGGGATGAAGTTAGGTCAGTTGTCTCTTCACAATAAATTTACTAGGAATAAACAATTATTATAGGATTAATATAGGATTATTTTCAGAGAGAACCGTATGTAGGTCAATCTAACCCTACACTGAATATACCCTATATTGTTAGCAATGGGGAAGCTAGACTCTATTACTGGCAATTCCTGTGGTATCTATCTTCGGATATAGGCCTTTTCCCTACCTTTGCTAGCTTACTTCGTCTCAGCATATACTGTTTAAAACCATAATAAGAAACCATTTAATATCTTTCATGTATTTTACATACATACATATTTCATACATAGGGGGAAAAGGATTATTAGTAATGCTAACTCCCAGTCCTATTGCTAACAATATACCCTGTCAGGTCGACCTCCACGTTGTCCCCCCTGGAAACCATCATACTGAATTCCAGGTATATTCATCACGGTGGTATTGACCTGCTGCATCCTCACCTATTATTTCTCACTGGTGCCCCACCAGTGTATACCGTTAGGGCAGGTGGGGCTATCATTCCATTTTTATCCATTAACAAAAATGTCTGTCATACATACATATTTGTCTGATGTATTTTATATTCCCAATAAGCATTCATTCTTTCATTCGTAACAATTTAGTTCTCCTAACGATGTTCGAAACAAAACTTTTTTATTAAGCATAAATCGCTCAACAATGCACGTTCGTCCCTGAACTTGTGTTAGTTTTGTGCGCTGCAGCGGCTATTGGTGGTGACCGTCGCGACGGGAAGCGCTAGATTGCTACCAGTAGTTACTGAAAAGGCGAGCGTTCGGTACCTGGGACATTGGCCAAAGAGTATAACAGCTGTTAGAAGGTAATCTTCTCTGATGAATTACATTAAAAATGCCTAAAGAAAATACTGATTAAATCGCTACATCAATCTGTAGGGTCAGTTAGTAAAGACCAAACTAAATGTCATATAATTGAATTAAATTAGTCAATATGTAAGGAGAGATCAGCTCGATCGTGAGAACCCGTAGTGGCAAACGTAGTGTAAAACGACCCTCCCCATTAGATGGTGTGATAACCTGAAACGCATTGCAGGGACTCACAGTATGCAAGTGACTCTGGGCTGTTCCTTATAAAGAGGCCTATGTTCAGCAGCTGACAGATAAAAGACAGATAAAAAACCCACTCACTACTTCCTATGCCATTGTGTTAGGTTGACTGGAAGAAATCACTTTTAGAGATAAGTTCACCTTTGCTAATTTTGTTACTAATTTGTTGTTATTACTGTATGTTTTAGTGCAATAAAGAATATATATAAATTTCTATCACGTGTTCTCACTGAGGCATACATTTTAATTGGGTAATATTTAAGTACCTACTAGCACATCTGTGGCTCGCATCATTGCTGACGTAATAGCCCGAAGCCGGACAATGCCAGACAATTACGTTAGCGCCGCTCAAATAAGGATATGTCGTCCGCGCTATTACTATTAACAAATAATTGCACTCAATAGATGTCACTGGTCACGCACATTGATGGTAGGGGAAATGGTGATATGATTAAATCGTCATAAATAATATTGAATGGATTTAGAGGGATAAAAATAAAACTAATGGAATTGTTAAAGGCATTAGTCAATTATTACTGTTTTGGAAAACTTGATACTCAATCTACATTGTTATATTAATATTATAAAGACATTGCTTTTAGCTATAAGGTCGCCTTTTGTATATGCATATTCTGTATAAATACTCCTTGTATACATCTCTATTGTGCGCAATAAAGAGTTTATTATTATTATTAAAGCTTGACTTTTGAATGTTCAAGGTAATTTAAGGTACTACAGATCCGATTTTAAAAATTCTAGCACTGTTACAAAAATATATTATCCCTGAGTGTTATAGATTATTTTTTTTTATTTTGGTAAGTATATATTTTTAATAATTAATCACAATAAATGTAACTGAAGTAAGTAAAAATTCTACAATATGGCGTGCACTTTCTGAACGATTTGAAATAAAGATATAAAGTCTATATAGCAAAAATATTTATAATTTTTAGCTTTAGCTCGTTTACCCCCTGTGTTATAGAGAAATGTTGGAAATATTCGATATCGCAACCCTTAAAACCTATAATTTGGAGTAGTATGCTACTACACTACAACGGGATTACCTCTTAACCATAATAAAATTGTAACTTGAGGGAGATGTTTAAGAAAAAAATTAATGAAGGGTCTTAATAAGACTAGTAGAAGCTAAAACAATATTATTCAGTTTTTTTTTTTTCAATCTGTACGTTTGTACCTGGATTACGCAAAAATTACTGCATCAAAATAGATGCGGTTTCACAGATGTGTCTCTGAATAATATAAAAGCTGCTGTACGTTATGTTGATACATTTACCATCTAAAAGTGTACTTTTTCATTATGTTTTCCTACTTCTGAAAAATCTGCGCGTACGCAAGCAGGAACTTGAAAAATTTTTATACAAGGAGACTTTGTACAAAAGTTGTTTGTTTCGTTTGTTAACTTTGTATCCTATTCGTATTTCAGCAAAACAGTTGTATTTACACGACTGTGTTATATGGCATGGTGAGATATGGCAATGAAATTACAGGGTATGAGGGCACAACACCTTAATCCTCAAGAATGGCAACATATTAAGTGTATCATGAGGGGCACAGTATACTCTGTTATGCCCATGATACTATTCATACCTATTGGCAATAGCTATTATTTTCCATCAATGGCAAACTGTGGCTGATGGCTTATCAACCTGTCATTGCAATTTGCATAAAAAAACAACAATAAGACGAATTAATCTAAAAATAAACTTTTTAAAGTAAACGTCAGCAGCTGAGATGGCAACTGACAGATATGCGGTAAATTATAAATTCAAATAATCTTTATTAAAAATTAAGAAAAAAAAAAACTTTTTTACCAGCACTTTTTAATGGGCATTTTTTTAATCTACTGCGGGGCTCGAAGTTGTTATCTGCCCAGAAAAATCCGCAAGAAACTTAACAGTTACTCTTTTAAATCCCTGTTAATATATTTATAAGTACACATTTATTTATTTAAACATACTAAATGACAGAATTTCATTGTGCCTCCGATCAAACTGTTTATAATTACTCCTCTCCATCCAAAGGTTGCCTGCAAAAGATCGTTTTTAGCGATAAGGTCGCCCATTGTTTCCTCATTGTGATTATTTCTTGTAATTGTTTATATTTATAATAAGTTTACTGTTGTAATCTTTCTTTTGGAGGAAACAATAAAGAGTATCTATCTATCTACTATGTCTAATACAACAACACTACCATACACATTTGTCATTCAAGTAATCATAATAGGCTTTGTTCAATAAGTGTTTTTTTAATAACAGATTCAAAATTATTATAATGCTAATCCCCATAAAAGACCTAATAACTCTTTCTAAACGATATTTCGAAACGGCAAGTTTGTATTTGTATCTAGTGTTAAGATTATTCAGATTCAGCGTCTATTCAAAATGTTTGCGTAGCTTTTATTGTAGCTTTACAACACATATATTGTAAAGCTACAATGAAATTAGAAGGTTAATTAGATTCTGAGGACGAAAAAAAATTGTGACATATTGTATTTTGTCAGTAGCTGTACAGAAAAATATATTGAAATCTTTTTATTGGCATATGGACAAAGCGCTTTTGCCATTCTCGTGTATCAACAAAGCGAAATAAAAAAAAAGTATTTCCACGTCGATTTTCAGTATGCAAATTCGAACGTTCACATGAACTATGACGTATGTATATCGTACGCGAACGTGGTATCAAATATCCCGTAGGGAAGTCATCCGATGCGCAATAACGAGATACCCTCGAAACCTTGGTAAATGAGTTTCACTAGTAGGAGTTACATCACTCATAGGAGTTATATATTTTATCTATATGTGAAATTATATTGATGACCCCATTGGCACATTGATAAGTATGTTACTTTGCATATAAGGTCCCAGATTTGATATAAGTATAATTTATTCAATGAACTTTTTTATGTCCAAACGATATTTTGGGTTGGGTTTTATATTTCTTTTTATACATATGCTGTCCGCTAAGTTATTATACATAAGTTGGTAAGTATGGATTTTAGAAATAGGAATACCAATAAATTGGTTCCTTTTCGATTGTGTATCGAGATGAAACATACACCAAATTTTGAGTTAGAGCTTCAGGAAACTGTGAAAACTGCATACAATTTAGTAATTTTTGTATGATTCCGAAAAAAAAAAACATAAACAGATAAATTTTCTAAAAGTTATTGCTTTATATACAAACATCGTCTCATTCGTGTTTCAACCGTAAAGTAGTTGTGTTTGCATGGCTATGTTTTAGTTTAAAGGGTTGGATATGGCGTGAATTTACTGGGTACAGAGGAATAACACCTGAGTCCTCAGGAATGGCACCGTATGGGGGGTATCATGGGCGAAACAGTATACTCTGTATAGTCCATGGTACTGCTCATGTCTATAGGCGACAGTTAACACTTTCCATCAGGTGGGCCGTCAACTTGTCTGCCATTCTAAGTAGCATATAAAATAAAAAAAAATCATACTTGTCCCTAATTTAATTATATTAGTACTTGAAACGAGTCCACATTGAAACCTTTTCAGTGTTTCAGCGAACATTGTAGAAGTGGTATCGGTCAAGATGGTGGACGGTGTGTATCTCTTATTTTTTTTTAATTTATTTATAAGATAAAAAAAGTCTTGCCATTACCTTTTTAAATACTTTTACAAAACACCTCAAATTAATGTATTTTTTTTTATAATCTACGATTTAATCAGTAATTTATTGTTTAAAGTGACATTACGAAATATTGGTTCTCGATTCCATTATGCTTTCTAGTTTTTTTTTTTTTACATTTGAAATTGTCTAAAATAAAACTAAAAAAACACATAATTACTAGCATATACAAACTAATTACCTCCAGATCTACACTCGAATCTCATTTCGATATTCGATTTCAATCCAATTTCGAGCCAATCTGTTGTGTGTGTCACACAATTACGAATTAGACCAAAATTGGAATCACATTCACATTGGTTTCAAATTTCTTTCTATGCAATTTACAGTGGCAAATAATCTCTGTTGGAAAGTGGCAACCGTCGCGTATAGACATGGACAGTACTATGGACATAACAAAGTATACTTTGCTACCCATGTTTTCTTTCATGAGTTGGCATTCTTGAGAACTAAGGTGTTTTGCCTCTTTACTCTTTAATTTTTAAAGCTATATCCTACCACTCAAACCGAAACACAGCCGTGCAAACACAGCTGATTCATAGCAGAAATACGAATGGGATAACGGTACCCAAGCAGACGACTATTGTTCAAAGTCTCCCTCTAATTCACTCTACATGGTTTTAAAACAATTGGTGTTTCAGAAGCTCTTACTTAAAGTTTGGTATATATATTTTAGACAGCCTAGAATTGGTCTATTTTATTAATTATCCTATTTCTGAAATCTATGCGTACGAAATAGTGGGGAAAAGCTAGAGATTTATATTTTTTTTTTCAATAAACACAACACTGACAAATAGCGTGGAGTAATCTATACTTGTAATAAATCTGTAGAAAGGTCAATTCTGTACATGAAATATATTTCCAAAAAAACTATCAGGCGGTGATTAGTGATCGATACTGATGCCAAAAACGCAATCAGTAAAATTTTTGTCTGTCTGTCTGTATATTCGTTACAAAAACAAAAACTGCTCGACGGATTTTAATGAAACTTGGTACAATTGGAATACTTGGTATTCTTCATACTCCTAGGCAGGTTATAGTATACTTTTTATCACGCTATGATCAATAGGAGCAGAGCAGTGAAGGGAAATGTTGGGAAAACGGGAGAAGTTACTCCATTTTTAAGCTTCCGTCGCGTGTGCAGCCTTAATGGCCACTTTTTTAAATGTAAAAATGTCCACCCGTGTGACGTCGGGACGGGCCGCTAGTACAAAAATAAAATAGTATATAAATTAATAAAAATTAATCGTATTTCAGTTGCTGATCCAGGGGTAGTGAAGACTGGGGCATATAAATACGAAGATGGGACGAGATACGTCGGAGAATGGAATTCAAAGGGACAGAAACACGGCATGGGACACTTAGTACTTCCAGACGGGACACGATATGATGGATCCATGATCAGTGGCCTGTGTTCAGGACTTGGAGTTATGGCGTTCCCGGACGGAGCCAAGTTAGTAAATTTTTTTTTAATTTTTTTTTTATACAACTTAGAATGGCAAACAAGCTGACGGCCCACCTGATGGAAAGTGGTAACCGTCGCCTGTAGACATGAGCAGTACCATGGACATAACAGAGTATACTGTGTATAAGTGTTTCTGTGATGGTATCAACAAAACTTGGCTACCTATCTTTTAATTCAGTTCTTTCAATAGAACTAACAGATACTTAGTTTTGTGATTACAAATCTAAATTTTATTTTAATTAATAAATTAATAGTTACTAGTTAAATTGACAGGATTGTTAGTAACCGATATTAGTGACTGTATTGCTAAAAATAAAGTTTTTTTTTTTATAATATAGGCAGCACGCGCATGCGGCTCGCCTAATGGAAGGTGATTATCGCCGATGTAGATTTTTAAATAAAATAACTATTTTATCGTAACTACGAGTCATTTCTAATTCTTATATGTTTAAAAGACATGACTTCAACTCATCGGAAACACAGTGTTTCCGATGAGTTATTCAATATATTTCATATAATCTTCTTTTGGACTACAGTCACTTCCTTTGTGGGGAAGGAGTACGTAATGACGATCCTCCGTCCTGACAAATTGCTTTAGTTTCGTCCCCATATATCTCTTTTAACATCATATGACATATCCGTGCAGCTTCTATGAGAAATTCAATTATGTACTATCTATAGTCATGTAAAACGATTAGTTTTTTTAGGGTTCTGTACCAAAATTGGGCAAAAGAATCCATATTGTGCGACTTAGTCTATCCGTCTGTTGCACCACTATTTTTTTATTTATGCATCTTATAATGGCAAACAAGCTGGCGGCCCACCTGATGGAAAGTGATAACCGTCGCTTATAGACATGAGCAGTACCATGGACATAACAGAGTATATTGTTTCGCCCGTGTTACCCATACGCGTTGCTTTATTTTTATTTATTTTAATGCGACGCAGTTTTTAACTTATGATAGTAAATTTCATCACAATTAGGTATATCGAATATTATTCGCAGGTATAAAATAAAATTTACCAACACACACACATACACACACACACATGCATGTGTGTGTGTGTGTGTGTGTGTGTGCACGCACGCACGCACGCACGGGTAGATATAATTTTCGTAAATAATATATAGTCACTCGCCGATAATGTAGCTTTCTATAGGTGAATGAATTTTAAAATCAGTTGAGCAGTTTTTGAGTTTATTTATTATGAACAAATACTCGTAATTAAATCTTTCCTCTTTATAATATTAGTATAAAGAATTTTTTTTTGTTGTATTCCAGATACGAAGGTGAGTTTATGCAAGGCTGGTTTCATGGCCACGGTGTTTTCTGGCGAGCTGATGGCATGAAGTTTGAGGGGGAATTCCGTGGTGGAAGAATTTGGGGTCTAGGTAAGTACCGGTCATTAAATGTTTATAAATTCTTTTTCATGACAATTAGAAATGAACTTGATTGTTTTACCTGATGGAAAGTGGTATATTTATTTATATTAATTTATAAGCCATATATATCGCTCCGTGTGGTCCCGGCATACAATGGGTCAACCCGTCCTTTCTCGTAAGAGCCCCCATAGAGGGAGGCCTATGTTCATCAACAGTCACGGACAGTTGATGTAATCAGACACCTGCTGATGTAATTATCATAATATAATTATCAGTTTTAGAATTCCCTACTCGTGACCACGGCAGGTATAACCTGGTTGAAACGTCGAGCTAATTCAGGTACACTATCACAGTTTAAATAAATAATCGTGTTAACTTCCGTCTCTTGTAAAACATTTAGAGTTCAAGTCTAACAGATAACATGGCTTATAGCTTTTTAACCGCTATTTCAGACGCGTAGATTTTAAAAGTAGAAAAACCAACGAAATGGATCACTCCTAGATTGTACCTATATCAAGATATCAGAGAGAGACTTTGTACAAAAGTCGTGTGCTTGGATACCTCTGTTCCATTCGTATTTCAACCGTGAAGCAGTTGTGTTTGCTAGCTGTGTTTCGGTTTGAAGGGTAGGACATGGCAGTAAATTTACAGGGTACAGAGGAATAATACCTGTGTCCATAGTACTGGACTAAATACATGTCTATAGGCGACGGTTACCATTTTCCATCAGGTGGACCAGCTTGTTTGTCATTCTAAGTTGCATAAAAAGTAGATAAAACATTTTTTTTTTACAACACAGGGGGCAAACGAGTATGCGGCTCACCTGATGGTAAGTGACTACCGCCGCCCATGGTCACCCACAACACCTACGACATTGCAGGTGTGCTGCCGGCCTTTTAAAAAGGAATATGCTCTTTTCTTGAAGGTTATGTTGTCGTATTGGTTCGGAAATACTGCTGCTGGAAGTTGATTCCAAAGAGTGGTTGTGCATGGGAGAAAGTGCCTTGAAAAACGCACGTTGGAGGACCGCCACTCCTCCAGATGGTTGGGATGAAATTTTAGTTTATGGCGGGTTGTACGATGGTGAAAATCTGCAGCAGGTATCAATCCGAACAATTCTTCAGAACACTCCCCATGATAAATTCGGTAGAAGATGCACAGAGATGCAACATCTCTACGCAGTTTCAGTGAGTCGAGCCGGACAGTAAGACGCCGATCGTCAACAATTCGAGCTGCCCGACTTTGCTTTGCGGTCTAACGGAAGGAGTTGGTACTGTGGCGCTCCTTCCCACAGGTGAGAACAGTATTCCATGTGTGGCCTTACTTGAGCTTTATACAGTTTTAGGCGGTTTTCTGGCGTGAAATACCGTCTCACCCTATTGAGCACCCCCAACTTTTTGGAAGCTATCTTAGCTTTTTCCTCCAGATCACCGCAAAACTGGACGTCGCTAGATATATCGACGCCAAGAATCCCCAGACTCGACTTATTATCAAGGGAAGTGCCCTGAAAGTGAGGAGATACGACAAACGGTGTCTTTTTTGCGGTGAACGCGCAGACTTGTATCTTCTTAGGGTTAAAGTGAACAAGATTGCGTTCACCCCAGATCGAAACTTTATCGAATGAAGTTTCGATTTCAGACACAAGTCTGTTTCGGAGCTCATCGGTATGTGCCCGCGAGATCTTTGCATGACCGGTGTATAATGCATCTCCTGTACTGTCGTCTGCATAACAATGAATATCACTGATCTGTAACATATCATTGATATGCAGAAGAAACAGTGTCGGAGAAAACATACATCAGATTAGACTTTCAAAAATACAACTATGGAAACTGTATTCAATTTAGTATAGTGGTTTATGCGTGGCGGCGGAACAAACATACAGACAGACGAATAGATATAATTTCTAAAAAATATCGTTTTGACATCTATTAATCTTAAGATGCATTCTATCAATTTTATTTTAAATATCTCCCACGTACAGATATTGTTCAGTTACACTTTTATTACCTATAGTAGTAAAATATTGTTTTGCGAGATTGTGCGATTGCTTTTAGAATATTGTAGGCGCTAGGTAGTTCGCCGTGTGGTTCCGGTATAGAATAAGCCATCCCTTCCTTTCTCGTGGGTTTCATAATAATGGTGAATAAGGGAGGGCGAATGATGGGCAGCAGCGTCTCTCTTAAAACATCTCTAAAGCCTAACTGCGGTTGCTTATCTGCCTGCTAAGCAAGGCAACTACTGGCAAAACCCCTCCAAGAAGAAGGCTTATATTTAGCAGTGGGCAAGTGGGCTTTGTGATGATGATGATGATAGGTATTTGTAAAAAAGTCCGATTTAACGCCTATTAATTAACTAAAACAATATATCTCCTTTATTATTGTTGTTTGCATTCCACGTAGGAGTTTCTTTTGAAGTGTCCCATACTTTATTTTATTGGGTGAAAATGGCATGGTAACCCCACCTGCGCTATCGGTATACATTGGAGGTGCACCAGTGAGAGGTGATAGGTGAGGATGAAAAGGCAGGTCAGTTAGCCCATCGTGACGAATTCAACGATAAATTAGTCACGATAGTTTCCAGGGGGAACCGCGTGGAGGTCGACCTGATAGGGTATATTGATAGCAATGGGGCTAATCTCCCCATTACTAACAATCCCTTCCCCCCAGTGTACCAAGGTAGGGCCCAAAATTTTACCCAATAGGAGAAGAATAACAAATTACTATTATTCTGTTGGCCAGATGAATTAATTATAAGGTTTATTTCAAGTTTGCATCCTCGCACCCTTTGTCGCATCCTAGTGATACGATAGTTCTTGTTGATATCTGTAGGTGACAGTTGACACTAGGCCGACAGCGTATTTGCCATTCTAAATTGGAATACATTATCTAAGAAACGATTAAGTGACAGAGCAAACTGAGATTATGAACTTCAAACGTTAAAACCCCAAAATGTACTTAAATATACTATCTTAGGTTTATAATTTTTACTCTGAGTGACTAAATAAATTTTATCTATCTATTTTATCCCATGATGTTCCACTACCGGGCTAAGTCTCCCCCATTTCCTTCCAAAATTGCCTGTTCAGCGCTACCTAAATCCAACCTTTAAAATGTGTCTAGGTCGGCACACATTGGATAGAGATCTTTATCTACCTATCAGGATCCAAACAGCGTGTTCTACCGCTTATACAACGGATTGTGCTCAGAGGAATTATTCAATATGATGCCTACGCCCACTTTCTATCATCGTACGGCTCGCCATCAACAGGGAGTTTACCCTCATACCTTACAGCCTAAATGGTCGCGTACAACGCGGTTTCAGAGATGTTTTCTCCCACGAACACTCAGGTTATGGAATGAGCCCCCTGCCGAGATTTTCCCAAGAGACTACAGCATGGGGTTCTTCAAAAGGAGGGGTAAAGAGGTTTCTTCAGGGTAGGTAACGCGCGCATAATACCTATGGTATTGCAGGCGTTCATAGGCTACGGTAACCGCTTACCATCAGGTGGGCCGTATGCTTGTTTGCCACCTCAGTGGTATAAAAAAAAAGCTAATGTGGCTTGCCCAAGCCTTTATCGTTTTATTCAAAAATTGATACAGAGAGCAAAGATTAACATTATGTACATAAAAAATATTAATTAAGTAAATAAAAGCAAGATAAAGGAGGCAACAATGAGCGGTCTTATCTGTAAATGGCGATTTCTTCCAGACAAACTTTTACTATTTTCTATTGTATTATACGAGTATATTCAATTTTTACTGTGTATTATTTAGTTTATCTTTAGCTGTACGGTTTTTATCCTTGTACATTTTACAGTTCTCTTTCAGCTTCTCAAAGGTTGATTGTAAGAGATCCCTTTATGTGATAAGTTCGCTATTGTATATTAAATCTTTTAATGTATTCAGTATAAATTATGTACAATAAAGATTTATACAATATAATACAATACTTATATTATAAAATGTGCATATAATTTATACTATTTAAAAAAATATCACAATATGTTATAAAATTTTTTATCTTCACATATGGGATCAGTTAAACTGTTACACGTCAACCAGTTGGAATCTTTTATTCTTTCTCCTGCCTTATACTATCAGTTTATAGATCCTATTTGATATTCAGTGTTTTAAGATATCCTTTAAGTGGAGGATATCCTAGCTCTGGATAAGCCGTTGCAATGAGGGAGGTTGGCAGAGATGATTTTTTTTTTATACTACTTAGAATGGCAAACAAGCTGACGGCCCACCTGATGTAAAGTAGTAACCGTCGCCTATAGACATGAGCTGTACCATGGACATAACAGAGTATACTGTTTCGCCCATGATACTCCCCATGCATTGCTATTCCTGAGGACTCAGGTGTTATTCCTCTGTACCCTGTAAATTCACGCCATATCCCACCCTTTAAACCGAAACACAGTCATGCAAACACAACTGCTTCACGGTAGAGACACGAATGGGACAGAGTTACCCAAGCAATCGACTTTTGTACAAAGTCTCCCTCTGGTAAATAATCTAGATGATGGTTGTAAACTGGTGTATTTCAGATTTATATGATGAATACTCTTATCTTAACCAGTTAAAATATCCTTTTATATTAACTACTACGTTATATATTTACAGTTTATAGTTATATAGTTTATATATTTTGCTTTTTGTTGTTTTGTTTTTGTTTTGTTGCTTTTTTATTTTCATTCTTTTATCTCTTTTACTGAGTATTATGTGTATGTTTTTGTTTATTTATATTTGTGTGCTGTAAGTAATGTAAATAAATTATCTATCTATCTACGTGCTAATATGGGACATAACATTAGGGAGTATTTCAAACGTTCTAACATGTTCATGAAATGTGTGTTAAATTACATTACCGTGTCACAGGTTCTCAGCAGACTCATACGCACAATTGCCAATGAATCAGTTGCTAATCAAGTGTTCCATGGATTACAATTTTTCACTGCATAATCTGCACAGTGTGTCTAAAGACAGACCCGTTTTTTATATGCC